ATCCCTAAACCTAATGCGTCCCTTCGGTCCTTACTACATGCACCCATATATAAGTCTCACAACAACCTTGAAGACAAAGATGCTATGTGACTCTTCCAAAGCTCCCATTTTTTTTTAAAATCGCCCTCGAAAATGAGCACCCCAGATTTTCCATTTCATTTTCCCCTGTCTTTTCCATTTGACTTTCCTTTTGTTTGGGATCATACCTCTACATAACCCCAAACCCTCAACCCTAGACCCTCAAACCTAAACCCTGAACCCTCAACCCTAAATCCTAAACCCGAAAACCTAAACCCTACACCCTATACATGCACCACTTTTCTACCGATTCTTGGCCAGGTTGCAGGCCGGAGAGCAAGGCTGGATGCACCCAGAAGTGGGTGGGTTTAGGGTTCAGGGTTTAGAGTTTGGGGATCAGGGATCGGGTTTAGGGATTCGGGTTTAGGGATTAGGGTTAAGGGTTCAGGGTTTAGTGTTCAGGGTTTAGGATTCGGGTTTAGGGATTCGGGCTTAGGGGTTAGGGTTAAGGGATTCGGGTTTAGGGACTAGGGTTTAGGGATTCGGGTTTCGGATTTAGGGATTAGGGTTTACGTTAGGTCAATCCCCCCTATAGTAATGGCTCCTTAATATGGAGTTACCAGGGCCTGAATATACCTACAAGAGTCCCTTGTGGTACCCTTACGGATTCGGGTTCAGGGTTCAGGAATTAGGGTTTAGGGGTTAGGGATAGAGGGCGTGTTGCGCTGGGGCCTGGGTTTTTGCATAGAGGTTATTTTGGGGGGTAAGGATAAGTGTGATGCTAAAGCATCATTATGAGGGTTGGACTTGGTATTGGTTATCTTGATCAACCCATGCTCTGGTCCAATTCGCATGGCTTATGGCAAGCCCTGGAAAACACCGTAAATACCGTCAAATCTGCTGCCTGGGAATACACGCATAGTTCGAAGCAGAAAGTTCTTAATTGTAGTCCTAGGTCTCCTAGGCATCATGATTTTTACGCCTGATTTTCAATTTTTCAATCAAGTAGAGAGGAAACTTATACAAGACTCTGGGCATCCTCGAATTGTGCTGTAAGTAATTGGCATGAAGGAAACGAATTTTAGTAAAGAGCTTATATCACCAAGTATATATCTTAACTATGCCACAAAGGCAACGTTTTTGTTTAGTGAAGAATGCAAGGATTTATGCTGCTTCTTATTGAGACAGTGGGGCTTCTCATTCTCATCAGGAAGTCGACAAGCCCTTTTTATCTCGCTGAGGGTAAAAGCATTTTCTGGCCAGCACGAGCACTTGCTACGA